ATATGTGAAGTAAGGGCTGAGGATTGACTGAAGGCTTTCCCACATTCCTTACATTCATAAGGCTTCTCTCCAGTGTGAACTCTTATATGTGAAGTGAGAGTTGCAGACTGTCTAAAGGCTTTCCCACATTCCTTACATTCATAAGGCCTCTCTCCACTATGAGTTCTTGTATGTTTAGTTAGGGATGAGTAATCGCTAAAGGCTTTCCCACATTCCTTACATTCATAAGGTCTCTCTCCACTGTGAGTTTTTGTATGTGAAGTGAGGTGTGAGGAACGACTAAAGGCTTTCCCACATTCCTTACATTCATAAGGCCTCTCTCCACTATGAGTTCTTATATGTTTAGTGAGGGAAGAGGAACAACTAAAGGCTTTCCCACACTCCTTACATTCATAAGGCTTCTCTCCACTATGAGTTCTTATATGTCTAGTGAGGGATGAGTAATCACTAAAAGCTTTTCTACATTCCTTACATGGATAAGGTCTCTCTCCATTGTGAGTTCTTACATGGATAGTGAGGTGGGAGGACTGACTAAAGGTTTTCCCACATTCCTTACATTCATAAGGCTTTTCTCCACTATGAGTTCTTATATGTTCAGTGAGGGATGAGGAAAAAGTGAAGACTTTACCACATTCCTTACATTCATAAGGCTTCTCTCCAGTGTGAACTCTTTTATGTGAAGTGAGTGCTGAGGACTGACTAAAGGCTTTCCCACAGTCCTTACATTCATAAGGTTTCTCTCCAGTGTGAACTCTTATATGTGAAGTAAGCGTTGCAGATTGACTGAAGGCTTTCCCACATTCCTTACACTCATATGGCCTCTCTCCACTATGAGTTCTTATATGTTGAGTGAGAGATGAAGAAAAACTGAAGACTTTCCCACATACCTTACATTTGTAAGGCCTCTCTCCACTGTGAGATTTTATATGTGAAGTGAGGTGTGAGGAACAACTAAAGACTTTCCCACATTCCTTACATTCATAAGGCCTCTCTCCACTGTGGGTTCTTTGATGTGTGGCAAGGGCTGAGGAATTACTAAAAGCTTTTCCACAGTGCTTACACTGCCTTTCTCCACTGTGAGTTCCTATATGTATAGTGAAGGATGAGGAATCACTGAAGCCTTTCCCAAATTCTTTACATTTGTAAGGCTTATCTCCACTATGAAATTTTTTACATAAAAGGAGTGATGAGGGATAGGTTTTCCAACATTCTTTACATTCACGCTTACAACCTCTCACATGTGTCTGAAAGGATAAGAAACTACAGAAATCTTCCCCACATTTGTTACATTCATAGGGTTTCTCTCCAGTGAGTGTTTTTACCTTACATTTATAGGGTTTCTCTTCAGTAAGAGTTCTTACAGGAATACTTTGGTCAGAGGGACAAATGCAGGCTTCTTTACATGTCTTATATCGATAAGTATTGCAATCAGAATGAGATCTGATATGACGTTTAAGTGATGAATGATTGATGAAGGATTTTCCACACTCATGGCACTCAGAAGAATTTATAATAGCAGGAGTTCTTTTGAACACGGCAAGATTTGGAATCCGTCTGTAAGTTTTTCCACCTTGATTTTCTTCATTACTTTCAAAAAGGTTCTTTATTATATGCCTTCTGTTAAAAATAGGCAGCATGCTGTTAGGATTTTTTCCCATTTCACCATTACCAAACACAGTGAATATTTGACTTTTGCCTTAAATTGCCTCCTGTTTCATAGGTTAAATAATCTGGTAGAGAGGCTACCGTTACTGTCAAATATTTCCAAAATAGGAGGCTTTCTGATAACTGTGTACAAGTGAAATATATTTCAAATATTCAATAGCTAACTCATAATTATGAAAATATTATATTGCAAAAACTCTGTACAATTTTAAAACTAGTTTTATATAATGTCATGGTATTTTAAGATTTTTCTCATGAGGCACTGCTCTGTCTCATGTTAATGACACTCACCTCTTATGTCTCCCCTGATTTTTATGCTGATCTTCAATGTCATGCAATTTGCAAATATCTCCTAACATGGAGGACCAGGTGTCATTCTTCATGAATTCTACTATTAGATATTTACTGGATAAGTTTTTTCCATCATTGAGTGTTTGAGAAACTGTCCCAATGATTGAAGTTGAGGTTCGCGACATGAAACAAAAGGAAAGGAATTATTAGGAGGAAAAAGGCAGCTGTGAGCAAAAAAAGAATAACACATTTGGCTATTTCAGGTCTTTGGCAATGGTCTAAAAGTAATTTTCTAGGAAATATCTCCATGAAGATTGAGAGTGACAGCAGGGTTTCAAACTGTTTCAGACTGGTGCAGTCATAGCCATGAAAGCAAAACTGGAAAAGACTCAAATTTTTAAAATTTCAGTAAACCAGGATGATAACCAGCATGGGGAAAATTATGGGTCCAAGCCCTGGAATGGGAGACTCAAAACAGGTGTAGTAATCCTGATGCAGGAGACTGGATTACTGGCACAACTGCAGAGAGTGATATACATTGAAAGCGGCATCCTTGGATACCATCTTTGAGCCAAACACTGCAATTTCTGACTCTGCTCAATATCCGACGGGATTTGGTTGCCATGCAACACGTACAGTGCGCTTGTTTTCTAAGAGGGAGATTAAGTTTCTACCAGGGCTTCAACCCATAGTTTTTCCCATTCTGCTTATCGTCCTGGTTCACCGAAATTTAAAAATTTGAGTCTGTTCCAGTTTCACTTCCTTGGCCATAACTGAACCAGGAAGAACCACTTCAAAGCCCTGGTGATAATGACATAAATAGGCTGCAATTAGGAGAGTAAAGTACAAAGATATTGGCCACATTGCACATGTAATGTGGAAATGCTAAATGTACATGGAAGAGGAAAAGGGCAATCTTTCTTCACTAACACAGGTATGAGAGGACTAACGAAAGTAAGAAAAGTAAGCTCAGGCCCGTGAAGTTCAGTCTCCTCAACCAAAGAGACTTTTTCTAGCTGATTTATTGAAATCTAATTTCCTCCATGCAGGACTGGTCCTTCAAAGGATTCTTGCCTTCCTGGTGTTCCCCAACATAGTGGTTCTAGATGTCCTATGTCTACCCTCGGATGTTTCTCATTTCTAGGAGAACAAATGGGTATATGTGGCATGGTGCTCATGGAGAAAGGCATATCATGAGGTAAGACAGTAAAGAGTAATGAACATTTCCCTGGCATTGAGCCAATACTTCGGCCTGCAAAGTCTCTGAAGATGGGCAGGTGTGAATTTATTTACAGTAAAATAATCATGTCTAAATTGTAACACAGTGAAACGCTTTAGAAGGTCCCAAACCATAAGTCTGCTCTCTATGCTCTAAAGTAATGCCTGAAGTCAATGCTCACACATACAACACTTAAAGAGCCTCAAAGCTTTTACCAAGAGAAATAAAAAGCCAGTTTAATACACACAGCTTTATGTTCAGTGAAAACCAGGATATTTAAGATCCACAGATCAAATGACTACACCTGTCTTGTTTAACAATGCATTTCCACTCTGCAGCCCAAATACTGGAGCAAGGTTGATGAGTTTGATATATATGTACACTAAATAATAAACAAAAAATGATACCATACTTACCTACTGAGGCTAGGTTTCTGAAGGTTTCTATCATCACATCTTTGTAGAGTTTCCTCTGAGCAAGATCCAGTAAAGCCCACTCTTCCTGGGTAAACTCCACAGCCACATCCTCAATAACCACTGAGTCCTAAAACACCCCATATATTCTGGTTCAGCAAGATACCATGTACTCCAATGTGTGCAAAAGGATGGGTGAGGCTGACAGACCTGAGGAACTGAGAATTCATAGGGATTTGACACAAGGTTCTGTGTTGTACCAAGGTCTACTCTAGGGTTTAGGCATCAGCCTCATTCTGTCACTGTCTAAATTCACTGACTGCAACCTGCTTCATAGATTTAACAATACTTCCAACACTCTGATATCTCTCTACACTTTGTGACCAATTCCAGTCTTATTCTATCTTTATGGACTAGGAACACTCAGAGCACATATCAAATACTAGAGAAATGTCTACAAATAAGTCTCATATCCACATGCAGATCAATTCCTTGTATAAAAAATTTTTTTTTCATCTCCTTCCACAAGACCCACCAGAACTCTCAAAAACCATGAGTCACAGGGTGAAAGCAGGATGAGATATTAACAACTGGGAAACACTGAAGAACTTGCAGCTTTTCCTTTTGACTCTCACCAGTCATGGGAGGCCCGGTGGCCCACACCAACAAACTGGTAACCCAAGGCCCTGAGATGCTTGTATTTTCTTGAAGAATTCCATGTGATCAGGAGGTAACAGGACACCTACTGAAAATATATTATTTTTTAGAATTATGAATTTTTACATATTTGTCATCTGTTTTTCAATAATTCTGTAATTGCACTGTCATCTTTTTCATCCCTTTCATGTGCTCATACACAGGAATTGAAAAGTTAACTAGCACTCATGAGAGACATGAAATATGAGAACCAAGATCTCCCTATAATTTTCATAACTTGAGATCCAATGTTACTGTATACCAATTATTAGTGACCACTCCCCTCAACAAGCATACACCTAAATACTCATACAAACACACTCTAATGTTACTAGATGACAAAGAGCACTATCTCTGCAAGAACCACAATAGCACACCCTTGAGTTTTCTGACCATGGAGATTATGATTCCCATTTAGTAATGGGTGGGCAACATGATGAATGTAATCAATGTCACCAAATTATTGCTGAATTGCCAAATGTTTTGTTGTATGCATTTTTGCCACACCCCCAAAAAAATTATTTTGTAAATAAATTAACTGAAGTGCAGAGGGATTATGTGTTAAATTCTCTGTGAATCTTAGAAAACAGAGATTTACATACCAGCCCTCTACAGGCTGCACTCCAATGTTTTCTCATATTTGCAGCCCCTGGAAGGCACATAAGCATGAGTAATCAAACCCTGACCACTGGCATCCCCTGAGTTATAGGACTGGCCTCTGTGAAAAAGCATCAATCCATTGGTTTTCTCATGTAGTGAGGAGGGAAAAGGCAGCTACACGCACTTCAGATGCTTAAAGTGGACTGAACAGCAAAGCAACTGTATAATAGGAAGGGTCTTCTTGTCAGGGCAGGGCGTGAAGTGAGCTGCTTAGATCATTTGCTAGTATAATGGTGTCACAGCAAACGTTGATCCAGAGCTAAAATTCAAAAGTCTCCTCCACTGCAGTGGGCCATGTTGCATATTTCAAAACCATCAAAAACCCTAACATTCATTACTACAATATATTAATAATAAAATGTCCCATTTATTGAGAAACTACCATATGCGAATGGTTTTGCAAAAAGTTTGACCAACTAGTTCATTTCTTTCTCCTAATGACTCTCCTAAGCAGATATATTTCAAACAGGTCATAGTTGAGGAAAGTTAATCAATTAATCACATGCTCAATGCTGTACAACTGGAAATTTGCTGAGCCAGGGTTACAATGCAAGGCAATTTGCTTTTGAAGATTAAATTCCTGACAATTACAATTCTGTTCATATAGATATAGTTTTCTTGTTATTCTGCTATTCTCCAACAACACCATGAATGATCTAGGGCCCTGCTGAGTACTAGGGAGAGGAGGTAAAGGAAACATGCTATTCAATTCAGACAACCTGGAGCTCCTACTCCCGGCAAAGACCTGTGTCCCAGGAAACACTGCTTCCCTTCAGGTCCTTACCGCTGGCATCTTCGCTTATTAAAACTGATTTAGGTAATACTGACAATACTGACATAGAGACTATTTCGTTTGGGCAAAACAGATACAGCAGTGAACAAAACAGAAGTCTCTGGCTTTCAACTAAAAACCACAAAGCACATACTAAAGACAAAAAACACAGCTTGAAGCAAAAAAGCAAGCATCAGAATCAGTCTAAGATACAGCAGAGATTTTGGTATAATCAGATCAGAAATCCAAAACAACCATGATTAATATGCTAGAGGCTCTAATACATAAAGTATACAACATGCAGCAACAGATGGGTAATATAAGCAAACAGATGGAAACTGTTGCAGAAAAACAAAAAAAAACACTAACAGAATGGGAAATTTGGCAATTATTATGGATGATGGCTGTACCACATGATATCACTAAACTGTACACCTGAAAAATGTTGAATAGGTAAAATGTTTCATGAATTGGCAATTCTAAAAAAAAAGGTTCTACAGAGAGAAGGAAAATGCTATGGATGAGAAACTCAGAGCTACATGAGGAAAGAAAGAGCACTAGAGAATAAATGAAGGTAAAATAAAATCTTTTATCTTACTTTTTCTTAACTGATCTAACAATTTGTTCAAAATAATAACAGCAACAATGTATTCTGTGATTACAACAACCCCATATGACAGGACAGAACTGCTCCATAAAGTTTTCTAGGCTATCTTTACAGAAGCAGATCACTAGGTTGTTCTCTGATAGAGCTGCTGAGTGTATCTGAACTTCCAACCTTTTGGTTAGCAGCTGAGTGCTTAACCGCCACACCACCAGGGCTCCTTACAAACTTCATAACCTAGATGAAATGGACTAATTCCTTGGAAAACAATCTATCAAAGCGTAAAAAAAAAAATCTGAAAATGCCTATTTAAATGCCTGCTAAATATTTACATCAATAAGCAAAAACCTCACCAAACAGAAAGTACTGGGCACAGATGGTTTCAGTGTTGAATTCTACCATACCAAACATTTAAAGAAAAAAGTATACCAATTCTCTATCTCTTCCAGAAAATAAAAGCAGAGGGAATACTTTCAAGCCAATTTTATGAGGCCAGCATTACCAAAATACCAAACCAAAGACATTACAAGGAAGAAAAACTATAGACCAATATATCTCACAAACATAGATGCAAATATCCCCAACAAAATATTAGAAAATTGAATCCAACAATGTATAACCAGAATTATACACTATGACCAAGTGGAAGTATTCCAGGTATACAAGGCTAGTTCAACATTAGAAAAATCAATTAATGTAATCCATTATATCAACAGGGCTAAAGAAGAAGAATTATATGAACATATCAATATACAGAGAAAAAGCACTAGACAAAATCCAACACTAATTATAAAAATTTTCAGAAAACTGGGAAAGGAATGTCCTCAAGTTGATAAAGAACATCTACAAAAAAACCTACAGCTAACATCATAATTGTAAGTGAGAAATTAGACCATTTCCTGCTAAGATCGGCAACAAGATAACAATGCCCCTGCTCACCACTCTAACATTGTACTTGAAGTCCTAGGTAATGCACTATGACAAGAAAAAGAAAGAAAAGATATACATACAGACTAGCAAAGAGAAAATAAAACTTTCTTCACAGATATGATTGTCTACGTATAAAATCCCGAAGAATCAACAAAAAACTCTGAAACTAATAATCGATCATAACAAAGTTGCAGAATAAAATATTAATATACAGAAGTCAACTGCTTTCCTATATCTGAATAAAAAACAAATTTGAAATTAAAAAAATAGCATTTTCATCAGCAACAAGAAAAAATGAAATATTATAAATACACAAAAATATGCAAAAGATCTATATGAGGAGAACTACAAAATTTGATGAAAAAAATCAAAGAAGCTCTAATCTATGAAGAGATGTTCCATGTTAATGGATAGGAAAACTCAAAATTGTTAAGATATAAGTTAACCCACAAAGCTGTTTGCTGGATATCAACAAAGTTTTTCTAACATTTATATGACAAGAGCAAAGCCTCAGACTAGTTAACACAGTATTGAAGGAAAAGAAAATGGGAAGTCTGACACTACACCACTTTAAGACTTACTCTAAAGCTATAATAATCAAGAATGTATGGTACTGGCAAAAGAGTAGACAATTACATCAATGGAAGAGAAGAGAGAGCTCAGAAACAGACACACACAAATACAGTCATCTGATCTTTGAAAAAGGACCAAATACAGTTCAATAGAGAAAGGATACCTACTCAATAAATGGTGCTGCAACAACTGTACATCCACATGCAAAAAAAAAAAAGGAATCTTGATACAGACCTTATACCTTACAGAAACATTAACTCAGAATGGATCAAAAATCTAAATGTCAATGCAAAAGTATAAAACTTAGAAGATAACATAAGAGAAAATCTATGGGATGCACTGGGTTAGGTGGTATTATAGATACAACACTAAAATCATCCTCCAAGGCAGAAAGAATGGGTAATGTGGAAACAAATGAATTGAAAACATATGTCAACCCAAAAACCTGCACACAAATGTTTATAGTAGCATTATTTACAATCACCAATACTGGAAGCAACCAAGATGCCCTTCAATAGGTGAATGGATAAGCAAACTGTAGTGAGTCCATTCACCGGACTATTGTTATCAGGTGCCATCAGGTTGGCTCTGAATCATAGTGAGCCTATGTACAAGAGAATGAAATCTTGTCTGATTCTGCACCATCCTTACAATCCTTATGCTTGAGCCCATTTTTTGCAGCCATTGTGTCAATCTATCTCCTTGAGGGCTTTCCTCTTTTTTGCTGACTGTCTACTAAGCATGATGTACTTCTCCAGGGACTGGCCCCTCCTGATTTTTCTTGTTAGGTGCCGTCCAGTTGGTTCCAATTCATAGTGACCCTATCTATAACAGAACGAAACACTCCCCAGTCCTGCATCATCCTCACAATCATAATGTTTGAGCCCACTGTTGCAGCCACTGTGTCAATCCATCTTGTCTAGGATCTTCCTACTTTTCGTTGATACTCTACCAAGCATGATGTCATTCTCCAGAGACTGGTTCCTCCTGATAACATATCCAAAGTACATAAGATGAAGTCTTGCCATCCTTGCTTCTAAGGAACATTCTGGCCATACTTCTTCCAAGACAGATTTGTCTGTTCTTCTGGCAGTCCATGGTATATTCAATATTCTTGGCCAACATCATAATTCAAAGGCGTCAATTCTTCCTTAGTCTTCCTTATTCACTGTCCAACTTTTGACTGCATATGAGGCGATTGAAAACACCATGGCTTGGGTCAGACGCACCTTAGTCTTTAAAGTGACATCTTGGTTTTTTAACACTTTAAAGAGGTGTTTTGAAGATTTGCCCAATGCAATGTGTCGTTTGATGTCTTCACTGATGCTACCATGGGCATTGATTGTGGATCCAAGTAAAGTGAAATCCTTGACAACATCAATATTTCCTCCGTTTATCATGATATTGCTTATTGGTCCAGTGGTGAGGATTTTTGTTTTATCTTGTGGTGCAATCCATACGGAAGGCTAGGATCTTTGATCTTCATCAGTGCTTTAAGTCCTCTTCACTTTCAGCAAGCAAGGTTGTGTCATCTGTATAATGCAGGTTGTTAATGAGTCTTCCTCCAATCCTGATGCCACGTTCTTCTTCATACAGTCCAGCTTCGGGAATTACTTGCTAAGAATACAGATTAAATAAGTATAGTGAGAGGGTAAAACCCTGGCTGACACCTTTCCTAATTTTAAGCCACTCAGTATCCCCTTGTTCCGTTCTAACAACTGCCTGTTTGTCGATGTACAGGTTCCTCATGAGCACAGTTAGGTGTTCTGGAATTCCCATTTGCAATGTTATCTATAATTTCTGATTCACACAGTCGAATGCATTTGCATAGTCAATAAAAACACAGGTAAACATCTTTTTGGTATTCTCTGCTTTCAGCCAAGATCCATCAGACATCAACAATGATATCCTTCGTTCCATGTCCTCTTCTGAGTCCAGCTTGAATTTCTGGCAATTACCTGACAATGTACTGCTGTAACCACTTTTGAATGATCTTCAGCAAAATTTTACTGGTGTGTATTAATGATATTGTTCTATAATTTCTGCATTTGGTTGGATCATCTTTGGAATGGGCACAAATATGGATCTCTTCCAGTCAGTTCACCAAGTAGCTGTCTTCCAAATTTCTTGGTATAGACGAGTGGGCACTTCCAGCACTGCATCCGTTTGAAGCAACGTCTCAATTGGTATTCTGTCAATTCCTGGAGCCTTGTTTTTTGCCAACGCCTTCAGTGCAGCTTGGACTTCTTCCTTTAGCACTATAGGTTCTTGATCACGTGCTACCTCCTGTAATGGCTGAATGTCGACAAATTCTTTTTGGTACAGTGACTCTGTGTATTCTTTCCATCTTCTTTTGATGCTTCCTGCATAATTTAGTATTTTCCCCGTAGAATACTTCAATATAGCAACTTGAGGCTTCAATTTTTTTCTTCAGTTTTTTCAGCTTGAGAAATGCCGAGTGTGTTCTTCCCTTTTGGTTTTCTATCTCCATTATAATACTTTACTGTCTTCTTGAGCCACCCTTGGAAATCTTCTGTTCAGCTCTCTTCATCATTTCTTCCTTTTGCTTTAGACATATTACGTTCAACAGCAAGCTTCAGAGTTTTTTCTGATATCCATTCTGGCTTTTTCTTGCTTTCCTGTCTTTTCAATGATCTCTTGCTTTTTTCACATATAATGTCCTTGATGTCATTTCACAACCCATCTGGTCTTTGGTCATTAGTGTTAAATGCGTCAAATTTATTCTTGAGATGCTCTCTAAATTCAGACGGGATATACTCAAGGTAGTACTTTGGCTCTCATGGACTTGTTTTAATTTTCTTCAACTTCAATTTGAACTTGCATATGAGCAATTGATGTTCTGTTCAACAGTTAGTTCCTGGCCTTGTTCTGACTGATGATATTGAGCTTTCCC